GTCCTACCAATAGGTCTAGGCTATCCTCACTCAATGAGTGACGTTATTGTATAGATTATTTGATGAGCTAGGTCAAGAATGTAATTTACCTTTTGCTTTTAGAGGCTAGGTTGTCCTAGGCTTAGATCGAGTCGAAGCGGCGTAATTAACGTAAGGAACGAAGTGTTGGCTAGGATCAGTACGATGACCTAGTCGGCACTAGCCGGGCTCAACTAGGAAGCCCGGTCAGGCCAATAATACCATCGAGTCCGAACGCGAGACCGGTCAGGTAAGCTGCCACGTAATTATGTGCAGGTCGGGTCAGTACGATGGCCTGGCCGGCACGAGCCAGGCTCAGCAAAGTAGCCCGGTTAGGCCAAAGTCGCCAATGTAAGAAATGAATAACGAGCTCAAACGCGAAGCTCAGCAAGGTCAGACCGTCGCCCGATTCAACGAGCAAGTCGGACAGGTAACACGCCAAAGTAATAAATAAATACCGAGCCCGATCACGAGGCTCGGCTAAATAATAAATTCGTGCAGGTCGGGATCAGTACGATGACCCAGCCGGCACTAGCCGGACTCAACTAAGAAGCCCGGTCAGGCAAACAATTCCACCGAGTCCGAATGCGAGACCGGTCAGGCCACAGCCGCCAACGTAAAAAATGTAATAAATAAGTGCCGAGCTCGATCATGAAGCTCGGCCAGGCCATACTACCTCCCGACCCAACGAGCGGATCGGATGGGTAACGCGCCATCGTAATCATTAGTGCAATAAACTGAACAAGCAGGGCTCGACAAAGGGGCCCGATAAGGCCAAAATGCCGTAAAACTAAAGGCCTACGTGCCATTAGGCCGAAATGCCGTAAAACTAAAGGCCTACGCGCCATTAGGCCGAAACGCCATAAAACTAAAGGACTACAAGCCGTAAGGCCGAAATGCCGTAAAACTAAAGGCCTACGTGCCATTAGGCCGAAATGCCGTAAAACTAAAGGCCTACGCGCCATTAGGCCGAAACGCCATAAAACTAAAGGCCTACAAGCCGTAAGGCCGAAGTGCCTGAAACTAAAAACCGAACTGCAAAAACAGTTCGTCCCAACCAAACGTGCGACAAGATGCTCTCATTCATCATACATTCATCACATACATTCATAACATACATTCATCACATACATTCATAACATACATTCATTACATACATTCATCATACATTCACGCATCCTCATGTGATCGCATTATGCATACAGTCTCGTAAGAAACAAAGAGCTCAAAGCTCACTCAGACAAAGAGCTCCAAGCTCACTCATGTCGACAATTCAAAATGCATTCCTGTATGAAAACGGGTACCAAATTACTCAACTAGGCCACTCAGGCCCCATCCAACAGCAAAATCGCAAAATTGCACATTCTCTCAAACTGACTCAACTCGACAAAGAACAGAGCATCGCTATCACAAATTCGTCAGGCCAAAGCCGAAAACGATCTACAAAACGCTCAAGGGTCCCAAAGCACCTAAAAAACTGCATACTAAATTGCGGAAAAACCTCTTGAATCACGCGAAAATTATCCGACACGCGCACTCGTCGACATATTTGCGATTCCGCCAATATCTCTCATTACGCGTAAAATCTAACGCAAGTTAAAGAGCTCAAAGATCAAAAGATCATGAGGTGAAAGCATCGCCAAATTATCAAGAATAAACGCGACTTCAGAACAGTTCAATCAGAACATGTCCTAAACTCGGGGGCCTCCTGTTGATACCTAATTTGGCTCCAATTAAATAAATAATAAATTAAATAATAAAATACGGTCTAATAATCGAGGAGCCGAAAATACGCGATAAATAATATACAAACACGTTCCCGAGACTGATCACCCAAAAACCGTATCTGGTCGACACAATAATTGTCGATAAAGCAGACGTCAATCGAAGCCGTCAAAAGACATAAGTGAGCCCTCGGGTGTCACCTCACATTGAATGCTAATGTACTATTTTACCTTTTTAGTACATGTATATAAATAGGAGGAAGAAGAGAGAGGAGGGGGCGGACTTTTCTCCTCCCTTGATCATTCGTCTTTTTCTTTCTTTCTTCCCACGAACATAAGAGAGAGGGCATGGGGCGGTTGGATGGCTCTCTCCAAATTTCACATTTTTCCCAAAAACATAAGAAATAAACACTCATTTCCATCTATTTTGTTCTTCGTTTTTTCATATATAGATTCGAATTATATTCGACGGTTGATCGTCCGATTTTCGACATCAACAATGTTATTTATATATTTAATTTATAATACAATCGTAATATTGTTTACCCGTGCATCGCACGGGCCACGCACTAGTGGATATAAAAAGTGATCCTATTATTTGTTGTGGTGCATAAATTAACATTTTTGTATAAAAATAATTACGAGTTGGATTATTTATATACCGTACATCAATTTATTTCCAATTTAAATACACTATAAATCTTTTCCTAAGTTAAGTACGGTTATTTCTGTTCCTTAAGATTAAGACTCATTCGTAACTTGATGATTTGTTCGTTAAGATTCAAGCTCATTCGCAACTTAGGGTCTGAGTATTAGGAGTTCAGGCTCATTCACAGCTCTACTAACAATTTCAATAACACGGGGTTTTCTATACCAATCTGAAACATTATATCAGAAAAATTCAGATAAATTCAAAAATTGATTTGACGTCCAAACAAACCCAATTAGCATTGAAAGTTGAGGTCGAACAAACTCATACAAGATCATTAGAGAACCGAATACCCATTGTTACTGCCCCAAAATACGACATTCGGGTTAAAAAGGAGCATCAGATTATGCAGGTATGGCTACACCACTGGTTACTGCGGTCATTATGGTCCTTTGTAATTTTTACTAAAACAATAGAAACCATTCCTAAAACCATAATAGTTGACTGAAAATGCAAACAATATCAGCTATAGTATGCTAGACGAGGAAAGAAAATACCAGTGTTGTTAAAAAAAACACAAAAAGTTAGCTTTTACATTTAACTAGTTTTTAACCTGTGCATTTGTACGGAAAACAATATAATAGAACAAAAAATAATAAAAATATATAAACAATAGTAAAAGTCATATGTAACTTTTATGTATTTTGTTCAGATTTTGGAAACTAAGAGGATGATTGGATATAAAAAATTTTGGTTTTGTTTGGATTTTTTTGTTTGGTTTGGTTAATTTTGAAAAAATTGGTATGGTTAGTTGTTAGTGGGTATATTAAATAATATTTAAAATAAAATGATTAAAGTTGATTTGATGTAAAGTAGGTGAGAGAAAATTTGAAGTGATGGTTAGTTAAAATTATGTGAGTGGATGAATAGTGAATTAAGGTAAAGTGGTGTGTAAGAATGATTGATTGATATTATTTAATTATATTGATAATATTAATGATAGTGGGGTTGAGTTAAAGTTGAGTTAAAAAAAGTGGTTGAGTTAAAAATGTTTGGATTTTTTTGAAAAATTTTGTATCCAAACATGCTCTAAATAGTTTAATTCTTTGCCGTCTTTCTCATCATATCAGTAAGTGAAGCTTTGCTAACACTTGTTCAAAATCGCTTTTCGAAGTTGTTCAAAGTCTTTTGCCGAAGTTTTTGAAAATTTTTAGTATTTTGTTCAAAATTTGGAAATATTAGGTAAGTTTATAACAAATCTGTTTAGATATATTTATCACATATTAGGAATTTCTTGTTTAATGTTTAAAAGAATCTGTAGGAATTTTTATTTTTAAAACTTTTACGCCAAAAAATTGATTTTAATATAAAGGCAATGTCTTGGTAAAAGTTGAATGTGTTGATAATGATAGGGAAATCAAATTATTTTTCTTTCTATTTTGTATAGTGTTCAATAATGTTCCACATAATTTACTGTGTTTTTAATTTTGATTTTTTCATATAGATTTGACTTTTTTTTGTTGATTATTAATTATGCTTGATATTTCTATATTATGCAATAATCTGCCATTACATACAATGCCTTGTCAATTCTCATTATTTGACTTTGCCAATTTCCGTTTAATATGACTTTTCTGTTGCTGAAAGTATGTTTTTAATGCATTAAAATATTGATGTTTTGGATATTTTTGATGCTATAATCATGCAGAAATTTGTCCTACCACTTTTTTTCTTAAAGAGGAATTGTTTAATGAAAATTAATCATATTTATATTTATAATTGTGAAATAATATTTTTTTTCACGGCCAACAGTTATTTTTTTTAATGAAAAATATGAGACAATTTATTCAACACACTTTTTAATTTATAAAAAAAAAAGAATGTTGATTGCGATAATCAAATATGCAGAAATCATGCATTTTATTGAATAGTAGTAATATAAAATATTTTATTATTACTACCAAATAGAAAGTCAAAGATAGTTAATTTTGCACTATTAATTATGATCATATGGTTTTTTTTTATACATATGTTTTTTCAATGAACTTTTTAAATGATAATATTGACAATATAGACTTTGCTATAATAATTATATAGACTGTGTTATAATAATAATTTATTTATTTAATTCATTAATTTTTTTTAATTCATCTTATTATGCGTATAGTCTAAGTTTATAAATTATATGTCATTTAAATGTATCTATACTACTAATTTATAAGGTTTTACCATTTGGGGGTGCTAAATTTTTAATTTTAATTATGAAACTAATCTTTCTTATCATTTTGCAGCTATATGTTTGATGGAGTATGGCTGGAAATTAAATTACAAAAAAAATAATTTCATTTTTTATATTGTAATGTAACATGATATGTATTATAATATTTGTAATTAATACATTTATTAATATTTCTTATAACTTTAATTGCTTAATATTGAAATAAAAAATAATAATATATAGTTTCCGAACAACAATAATGACTGTCACGTTTATATATATAAATGAGAATAAGAAACATAAATGTGAGATTAATTAAAAGGAACTTTTTTAATTTAGTCATTAACTAATTAAGTTTAACTAAAAGAAACCTTCTTAAATGTGAGATTAATGAATAATTAATTAAAAAAATGTAACTTCTTTTGGAGGGAAAATGAAAATGTTTTTATTAAATGTTTTATTAAATGGGGTTAGCTAGCAATTATATATATATAGATTTACATCACAATTAGCACAAAGGAAAAATAGAAGGACTCATTCCTCATTTGCATATTGCTTTATTTAGATTAAATAAGCATGTGTACATTGGTTTACATCACCCAGACGAGCACACCTAAAAAGAAAAGAAAAGAAAAGAAAAAGCTCATTTCGCGATTCACCACTACTACATATGTAGGCAAAGGTAATAGAACGGAAATGAAGCAGATTATAACCTAAGTAATCGAGCTGCTGCCACGCTTGGCTGCATCAGAGCTGCTCATTGTCATAAAGGATTCTCCACAGCCACACTGCCCTTTAGAATTTGGATTGATGAATATGAACTCTGATCTGATCATGAGCACAATACAGATATCAGAATTTGAACATTTTAATGAGCACCTCCAACAAGTCGACAGGTAGTAATCTACAGAATAAATTCATCTACTTATTTTTTCTGTTAGTTTATGGAAACCAGAGAATTAAACAACCAGTTGGATAAGATTTTTCATCCACGTCCTCCTCCACAATTTACATACAGAGTACACTACCAATCTTAATACACAAAATATGCAGTGTGCAAAGTATGCGATCAGCTGTAAAATGTTCAGTTCAACGCAAAGATATGCAATAGGAAGTGGAGAACAGGATCGCACCTCAGTTTGTCATCAACAAAGTCCATCTTGGTTCCTATGACATGCATAAGGGCCTTTGGATCAATCAATATCTTGACTCCTTTATCATCGACCAACTCATCAAACTTGCCTTTCTCATCTGTGAGTGAAATATAAAAAGCTTAGTGATTTGCAAGAAATGAGTCAGCAAAGTCTAGAGATGAATAAAATGGTCTAAGAAAATAATACGCTGACCAAACTCATTGTCCTAAAGACAGATATTTTTTCCTCCACAATTGTCCATCAGAGTAGTTTATCTTTTATAATCCTTCAATTGTATTTCCATTATCCATAAGCAGTTCTACATTTATTTTCCATCATTTAGTAAGTATAGGACAGACAAAGTAATGCAACTGAAGAGCAACAGACTCAATATAAGTCATTTTTTCTTTCGGTAATAAGCCCCATGGTGCACCATACGACATGGTGAAATCAACCTATAAGACAAACTTTAATGCATCTCCCTACAACAAATTCTCATCAAATTTGCATATATTATCTTGTACGTTATACTCATGCATATATACAACTGAACCTAATACCGTGCCCCCCAGTCATCCTCCTACCCAACAAAAAAGTAGCAATCATAATGTCGATTAACAGAACATTTGTACGAGGAAATAAAAAATTCATGCAGCCAAATAAGCTGCAAGATATTTTCAAAAGTTTGCATTGGGTCGTCAAGGAATTATTTATCAACAAGTTTGCATCGAGGATGTTCCGAGTAAACGAGTGTATCAGAAAGCAAATCAGTGAAATAAATGCGCAAGAAACCAAAGGTCATAAGAACATGGATACAGAAAAATGCTAATATAACAAAATTTTATCAAGTATTTGGGGAAAAAAAAGAGTACTTGCACAATAAAACAGAAATATTGACTATAAACTACTCACCTTCAAACAGGAAGAAAGATATATAGCTGAATTCTGAATCTATAAATAATTTCGACCGAAATCATTACAAATACCTAAATTAATGTCGACAAATTTGCTTCAATTCTTACCCTAATAAACAAATCATATCATGAGAACAGAGAGAATTGCAAACCGGCATAGTTGAGGGTGTACGATAAGCCATTGCAGCCTCGAGACTTGACGCCGAGCTTGAGGAAAGAGCGCTGGCGCTGCTCAAGGAGTTGGCGTATTCTAGCAGCCGCGGCTTCCGTTAAGGATAGAACTTGCTTTCGCATGGTGATTCTCCGATCTTCTTCACCCCGAAACAACCGTCTGATAAATTGAAATGAATTTGGGAATGCAATTGGGCTTTAAAACTTGATCAATAATGTCTAGGCCCAATAGTCGTGAGCGAATATCTGTCAGGGCCTTGTCAAACCCAGCCCAAAATGTTGACACGTTGGGTGGATCTAACTTTGGCCCACCACGGTCTTTCGGTCTTCTGCACAATTAAATTGTCAAACAAAACGAGTCGTCGATCGATTTTGTAGTTAAGATTCAAGCTCTTTGATTGATTCGTTAAGATTCAAACTCCTTCATTGATTCAACAACTTAACGAGAGCTCGAGTATTAGAAGTTCAACCTCATTTATAACTCTAATGATAATTTCAAGAATGCTCCCACGGAACTAAAATGTTAACTATGCGAATTTGCACTTTAAGTCTTGTGCAATTGATAATTATTAAAGTTGATAAACTAAAAGAGTCGGTTCGTTGATTAGCTTGTTAAGATTCAAATTCGTTCAATTCGTTAATTTGACGAGGGCTTGAACCCAAACTTAGGTGTTAAGAGCTCGAGCTTGTTTATAACTATAGTATATTTTCAAGATTGGGCCAACAAAACTAAAATGTAAACTAGAAATTCATTAGTGATAAAACGTTTCAGAATTCCTTTCCACATAATTGGAAATTCAACATTTTAATAAACATTGGAAAAACACATGTCAGGTTAGCATTGATAACTTGGATCTTTTTGGATTTACAAATACTTGAATGTTATTCATGTTTACTTGACTAATACTCTCCCCATATTTATTGTATGTCTATATACAATATTTTGAATTCAAAATTCGAATTTTATAAATTTATTTTGACAATAACCAGCAAGGCAAGTCAACCGTATTGAATCCCAGCAAATTGGGTGCCAAAATTTAATACCCAATTGCCCCTGGCAATAGCTTGCAGTGCAGGGCATGTATTTGGCTCATTCCCAAAATCTAACCTCCAAAATAAAAGTTAATTATATTAGGTTAAACTTTAGGACCGAGATGAGTCGATCGAGCTCGAGCTCCTGATACTCAAAGATTTATCGACCCAAACATTAGCTGAAAATTGACTCGTTTATTAAACAAACTTTAAGTCATCACAATTCACACGTAACACAAGTGACAACCCTAATGAACATCATCAAATTGTAGCAAATTAACATATGAAATTAGCTAGATTTGATTCAAACCCTCAAAGATCTGCTGAGTGTCTTCCAAAACATAGGATCCTTTGGATTATTTTTGCTTGCTCTTTTACGACCTCCGAAAATGGGGCTTAGTAGCTTCTTCACCGCCTTGGAAAAGGTCGACAGCCGCTCGGTTTTGGGCAGAGGGAAACGAGCCGCCTCTGGTTCAGACAAGCTTCGACCGAGCATTGCCTTCTTCAGCTGAACCTCAAAGGATAACCGTTCATATCGGTCGAGCAAACTGCTTTGCTCGTCTCCAAACGCCGTCTTAACCGATTTTTCCATTTGTGAAAGCAAACTCTTCTTAACATCCATGTATGTGTGCATATTATATTGTATGTGCTAAAAGTGTCAAAGTAAGAATAAAAAAGTTGGCTGAGAATAGATATAAACTATAAAGAAAAAGAAGTGCTGCTGTGAATAATTGGCAGTCAAGCTGACAGGGGAATCCCTAGGACAGACTCACAAGCAACTGAAGAAAGAAAATTAACAAAAAAACAAAATCGTGAGAACTGAGATCATGAAAAAAAGGCTGCAAATTTGAGATATGTTTAGGTGACAGATCAATAATTATTTGTATGTGAAAATTTATCAAGAAAAAATTGTGGACTTCAACATGTATGTGTATATATATGCAGGTTGTGGCCACATTAATTTTTTTTTGTTCCATGTGTTTCTGCTTTTCACAAATTCGGACTGCAAAAGGCTATTTGAAGCTAATGAATTGAATATCTATATCAGCTACAGCTAAATGTGGAATTAATTAATTTCATGTGTGTCGAGACTTCAAATATTAGCTTTAATCACATATCTGACAGCACCTTAATTTGACCAATTAGACTTATTTTGGCATTTGACCAAACGAATTTGTTGAATCACTATTATTTTCTTTTACATTGGGATGAAATATTTATTCGAGGCAATTACAAAAAATCATAAAGAAAATGATCACTTTATGCTTTCTTGCTGGATTGAAATTGTGTTTTTCCTGTATATATGTACTCAAGATTCCTCCAAGAGATTTCTGACAAAAAGTTTAACAACCTTAATTTTTTTGTGCAAAGGGACAAATTAAGTGTGTGTGTGAAATTTATATTGTTTAAACTTTTATTAATAAATATTTTAATTATCAACCATAACCTTAACATGACANTATATTTATACTGAAATGGAATATCTAAAAAATAATATAAACAAAATACGATGTCTCACTAATATATTTTTTATTTATAAAGTATGATATCAACACTTTCTTTTGTAAGTTTTTTAAATAGTATAACGATAGAAGAAACAATTATTGGCTTGTTTACATGTTTAATAGACGTTTTGAAAATTTCCCCAAATATAGTATCATTCAAATAAAACCATAAATAAATAAATCTATAAATACGAGTCATAAACCAAAAACAATGCAATTTAAAAACCAATAATTGAAATAAGTCAATAACAAACATATAAACCATCAATAAAGAGTAATAGAAACTCATTTGTATTTGTGCTCGGCACTTTTGCATACATTTTAAGCCCAAACTCAGCTACCTAGTCTACACCTCACCACACTATTGAGGCCCAATTAATGAGAGCCTGCATGTTAAAAACATTGCATGCAGCCCATATTGAAGGAAATGTCAACAAAGTCCTTGGCGCTGTTGATTCATTTTCATTCATGGATCAGATCCAATCCACCGTCCCCAGCCAATCCCGAACCCTAAATTCCCTTCATCTTTGAAATTAATTTCTTAATTTTTTGTCATATTCTGCATTTTGTGCAAGCTTTGTGTGATGTGTGAACATTTGAAGGGGGTTCAGAAAGAAATGCAATAATTATTCAAAATTCTGATGGAAAAATGAGTTCTTTAGCTTCGTTTCGATTGAAGTAAATCGAAACAAGCTGAAAATCTTGCCCTGAAGATGCTGATGTTTTTTGGGACGAACAGAAATTGCTTTATCTCATTCGTTTTAATCGTCGCTTTTGTTTCACTTTCACACACTTGCGATGCATCTTTAGCTTTTCGTGTGCGGAAATTAATCGCCCCTACACAGAACAATGGTTCCACTCCTTCTCAGGTAACTTTTATGGCTGAATCCTTCGTTGATTTATGTGTTTTTTGCGTTTTCTCATTAAAATGAAGCTTTAGTTAATCAGATTATTCAAATAGGTTGCACCGAGTGTAAGCCCAGCTGATGGAGCAAATAAAACTGCAAAGGTTGCCGGGGAGACTGAAGAACATGGGCAGAAGGAATCTCAGGTGAACAATCAGACCAACACTAGCAAGACACTGCCAAATGTTACTGAGAGTTCGAATGGGAATGACAAAGATGATAAAAAGTCGAGTAGTTCGATACCGCCTGCTGGTGCCAAGAGTAGCAATGTAGTTGATAGAGGAAATGAGAAGGCGACTAATGAAACCATGCCAAAGTTGGTGGGCTGCGTGGCTAGTTGCAGAGATCAGAAGATGATTGCCTGTGTTGAAGCCTCAAAAGGTGGTGGTACTTCAGTTTGGAATCATTTGAGATGATCTATTTGATTCAGTTACATTTCAAGACTGCAACTTTAGTTGTTACCCGGATGTTATGTAGCTAATATTGTTTACGATTGATGATTCTAGGTAATTGGGGGCATATGTCATTTTTAGGGCGAACATTTGATACGCTTAGAATTGTTTTCTCTGGTTGCTTAATATCGTAGGATGGAAGTATCTGTCGTGTTCTAGGATGAATATTTGATTTATAGTAGAAATGGTTGTAAAAGGCAGAGAACTATTCACTGGTGTGAAGTGAATAACTAACTTAGTTTTGTCTGAATACCACATTAGTGAAAAGGTTGAGCCATCTGAGAAAGTGGTTTTCATGTAGTGGTGTATAGGTTGAATCATCTGTGAAAGTGGTTTTCATGTAGTGGTGTGTAAGATTGAGTCTTCTGAGAAGTGGTTTTCATGTAGTGGTGTGTCTGAAATATTAATGATCTATTTGGTAGATGCTTTACTATCCGATGCGTTGTAAGACAAAACTTCTTCCTGTTACGTTTTGGCAGGCTCCGAACAAGACCTAGTGGTGCAAAATGAAGGGGAAAGTACCTTAACAGTGAAGGTCAACATGCCTAATTATCTGACAAATGATTTGCCAGCTCTTGAAGTAGCTAAACATGAAACTAAGAGGGTATGTGGCTCATTGTTATTTGACCGACGTGCACTTTATCTATTTTTGTTGTGCTGTGCACATTTGTTGCTTGTAATTTTCTGTATTGAACGTAATCAGTGCACTGTGAATTACACTGGTGATCGTTTTAGATGGGTCCAAGGGCTCATTCGTTCCTATTTCCATTAGTATTATTCATTACCAGATGCATTGTATTCTATGCATGAGCGCATGTCATATTATGTCCAGTTAAGTGCTTCTTTTCTACCACCCTAACATTCTGTAAGAGTTTCTTGTTTAATGTCATAAGCAAATATCCAATTGTCAATTAGTCATATATTCGGATCCCTAAGCTTCCACCCTAAATCTCACAAAAATTCTTGTTAGCTCGATTTCAGAATTTTCAAATAGCCTAATGCAACATTTTGTTTATATTCATTTTTTAAATTCTGATGATGACTTACAGATGGACATATCATCAGTTACGGGCAAGAGCACTGAACTAATAGTGGATTCCGGAGAGGCCAAGTGTACGCTTCAATTGGCCCGGCCCGTTTCTCCTGAAAACCTTATCCAGCAGCTCTCTTTCTACTCCAAGCAAGTGACACCAGTCTATGCTGCGTATGCATTCTTTCTCTTGGTACTGCTTTTTGGAGGGATATGGGCTTGCTGCAAACTGAGGAAGACGAGCAACCAGCAAAACGGGATTCCATATCAAGAACTGGAAATGGGCCTGCCGGAATCTGTTCCTGCTGGGAATGCTGATGTGGCCGTAGAAGGATGGGACCACGACTGGGACGATGATGACTGGGAGGAGGGCAATATAGTAAAATCACCTGCCGGGCCCACTTTGAGGCCTTCCAAGAAAGATGGATGGGAGGATGACTGGGAGGATTAGAGTTGTAAATAATATGCGACACACACGGTTGGGGCGAAAATGAAAACAAATTATAAATAATGTCTTTTTTTCTCTGTGATTGGAAAATGTATAAGTTCGGTTATTTAGAAGGAGGTTTCTTTGTTCTTTGTGATCTACACATTATACAAGGGATTGAAAAACCGGGTTTCTTTGAACTTTCCCAGTTTAGTTTTTTGTTTTATGTCTCGGAGAAAAGTGGCGATTGTTGCTGAGATAATGTTCAAGATAGTTATATAAACTTGTTTTGATCTTTACTAGTTTGCATTTGATATTACTTCCTCTACCTATATAAATATACCCTCTATATGAAAAATTAACTCAACCCCTTTAGTGTTATTCGTTCCCTAGTTTTAAAGTTAAAAGATCTGAAATGTGTCAAAGAACAAATTTAGGTAATGCCCCACTGGAAACAGTAGATGATCATAATGTTCAACCACCAAACTCCAAAACAGAATAAAAACAAGGAAATCTTGTTCAAATTAAGATACACAAATCCATATTTATATTAGAAGATTTGTATTTAAGCAATGAAAACTGAAAAGTTCGTTTAAGTTTTTATTCATAGTCGTAACTTTGGGTTAGGTTTATTAGGTCACATATCTTTCAAACAGTAATGCTAAGGAGTCAATTGTTGGCTCCGTTAACAGTTGAATCCTTAGCATTACTGATATTTCAAAATATCAAAACTTAAACCTACAGAAATCAGGTAAATGCTTGGATCAACAAATTAAATAATGGTCATGAGTAGGGTCATGCACAAGCCATTGATACACAGACAATTGAAAGAGGAAAAACTCCATCTTTATCCCAAGTTGATGAATGATAATGAAGGTTTGGCCTTGGTGTTCCCCCTCTTCTTCATGTGCACTGCACGCTTTCACTTTAATAATCTTTAGAGTCATTATACCAATTGAGCATTAGCTCAATTAGAGTCCCCACCTATTTATGTCCCTTGACATGCTAATGCTCTACCAATCTTTATTTAAATAAAAGTAAGTCTCATGGTTGGCCTATCATTTTGCTTTGGGAAAAGTTTTGTTTTGGGGGGTTGATGGCAAATTTAGAGAGAGATGACAATCAAGAACCTTCATCATGTGCTCCACCATAAATGTCTTTATGGGCCCTCAAAACGAACAATTCAAAAGCAATTCATCTAAATCCAAATTTAACTATCAAGTAACTGAGATTAACTATAACATTTCATTAAGAAACCATATATTGTCTCAACATGCAATCATGCATTTTTAAGATGGCCAATTTGACGTGTAATCTCAACAAAGTAACAAACTTATAGTTACGAGTTTTACAACTTCATAATCAAGTAAAATTCGTCCCCAAGCATCAAAAGTTTTTAGAATACTAACCTATCTTGCTTAAGATCAGCACCAAAACAATTTTCACACAGGGTATTCTTGAGAAGTTTCAAAAGAAACAAAGATAAATCACAAATATCATCTGAAGTGAAGAATATTTTACTCCAATGTAACCAAAACCTTCATCCATCTACATAATTGGCACCGGTGAACAGAAATCCAGTAATTTGGGCAACATTTTAAAGATATCCTACTCCCAAAGAAAAAAAAAAACAAAACAAAAACTAATAGGAAGTCCAAGTACTCAACCCCAGCTACAACCGTCTTCTTCATCCTACAAGAAAAGAAAACACACACACACACACAAACTGGATTTCTTCTCACCTGATGATCACCATATATATTAAAAAAGACATTTTTTAAAATCACTCGAGTAGCTCTTCTTGACTCGCTGCAGGACACCGAATGAGCTCCAAAATCCTCGTCACCTCCTCCATGTCAGGACGGTTAGACGGCACCTGAGATGCACAAATCAACCCTAGCTTAACCACCGGTACAGCCTCCTCCACCGGATAATTCCCCCCAAGCCTCTTATCAATGCATTCCTCTACCCTTCCCCCGTCCAAAGCTTCCCTAACCATATCACACAGCACGACAACATCATCCTCCATGTACTCCACGGGCCTTTTCCCCGTCACAACCTCGAGCATTAATATCCCAAACCCATAAACATCACATTTTTCAGTTATTTTCACCGTTTGGCATGCGTACTCTGGAGCCATATACCCCAATGCACTTTGAATCTTGCTACTCAAGATATAACGATCTAAAGCCGGTAAAAGCCTGGCCAGCCCGAAATCCCCCACCTTGGGCTCCCCACAAGAATCGATCAACACATTAGCAGACTTGATGTTGTAGTGAATCACGTTTAACCGATGGAGCTCGGCAAGCCCACTAGCCGTACCGAGAATTATCTTAAACCTCTGCTGCCACGTGAGGCCGCCACCTGTCCCGTCCGCGTCGTGAAGATGCTTGTGTAGGCTCCCGCCCGACACGTACTCGTTTATGAGCAGCTGCAGAGATGGGGTCCAATAGTATCCCTCGAGCGCCACCAGATTTTCGTGCCGGATTTTCCCAAGCTTCTTGATTTCCCGCTCGAATTCCTCCCGAGACTTGACGAGGCTCGTCGTGTTGAGCTTCTTGATCGCGACGGCCCGTTTTCCCCCATGAATCTCCGTGAGGTATACCGTCCCGAACCCGCCTCTCCCCAGCTCGGCTTCCTTGGCTAGCAAGCCGTGGGCCCCGGTTGACGTGAAGTCGGCCTCCCTGGAGAACATGACGAGCTTCCCGTAGCTGGCCGAGCTCTCGTGAGAAATGCTGACGTCATCCCCTCCCGAGAAGGCGAGGGCTGCACGAGCCTGCGCTGCGGCCGTGCGTGCGTGCATGTTGAGGATCGACACTGTCACGACACCGAGGGCTATCACAATGGCAGCTCCAATGGCAACGAGGGACGATATGCTGAGAACTATTCTTTTCTGGCGGAGGTCGGGGGAAAGTGGGCCACGATTGGCTACGGATGAGTTGGGGTTGAGGACTAGGGGCTTCTGGTGGGCTGCAGGGCAGGATTGCCTGCAGAGCGAAGGGTTACCGACAAATGATGTGGTGGGGATCGTGCTGAAGAAGCCCCCGACGGGTATTCCGCCCTCGAGGCGATTGAACGAGACGTTGAAGGAGATGATGTGGGAGAGGTTCGTGAGCTCGTTCGGGATGCTTCCGGAAAGGTTGTTGAACGACAAGTCGAGGAGCTCGAGGTTGGACAGGCTGGCGATCGAGGAAGGGATAGAGCCGCTGAAGTTATTCCGAGACAAGACCCTACAAACAAAATTCAGATTTTATGTTCATCACACCAAGTGTTTTTAAGAGAGTTTTTAGAAGAAAGTAAAGTAAAAGACACAACTTACAGAGAGGTAAGAGATGAGCAGTTCTTGATGTCTACTGGAATGGCTCCACTGAGATGATTGCGGCTCATATCGAGAACAGAGGTTGCATTTAGCTGACCAATACTTGGGGGAATGGGGCCAAGTAGAAGATTACGAGACAGATTCACTGCTTGCAGCCGGCGAAAATTACCGATACCCCATGGGATTTGGCCTGTTAATATGTTGGATGATAAATCTAAGACCTGCAGGCTTTGATACGTCTGCAGGTAGAAAGCGGGAAAGCTGATGCTGCCGGTGTATCTGTTACCAGATAGAGAGATTGTCTCTAGAGCTAAATTGAAAACCCATGAAGGCAGATTACCAGAAAGTAAATTTCCATCTACAGCAAGAACCTTAAGGTTGAAGCAATATCTAAAAGACTCCGGTAAGTACCCAATGAATCGATTGTTGGACAAATTCACTTGGTTCAGATATTGGAGACTGCCTATGGTACTCGGTATCCTACCGGAAAAACTATTGCCTGAAAGATCCAAGAACTCTAAGCTTGTCATCTCTCCAATCCAATTCGGAAGTTCACCGGACAAGAAATTCTCACTAACGTCAAGATATTTGCAGGACAGTTTTAGTTCTTTCAACGAAAGAGGAAGGCCACCAACAAAATTATTTCTTCCAAAATCAACAGAATACAGTGATGAAAAGTTTCCAATATTTTCAGGCAGCGAGCCCACAAATCTATTTCTACTGAAGTTAATAGCTCTCAGATTATACAAACTCCACATATCACCCGGAATTTCGCCTTCGAACCAATTACCGGACAGATCAAGTGTTTGGAGGGAAGTCAGTGACCATAAAGCAGAAGGTAACTGACCTGAAAGGCGATTGGACGACAAGTTGAGCTTCTCCAGCTTCGAGCACGAGCTCAAGGACTGTGGCACCATGCCAGTTAGATTGTTCCTTGCAAAAGAGATTTCTTTCAAGGACCCACATTGTTGGAAAAGTTCTTCAGGCATCGTCCCCGATAGGCTGTTCTCACTCAAATCGAGAATTTCCAGAGCTGGAATCTGAGTTAGGGCAGGATTTATGTTCCCCGAAAAATTGTTTCTTGATAGATGCAGAACTTTTAGTTGCTGCAACCTAATCAAGATTTTGCTTATGTTCCCAGACAAAGAGAACCCATCAAGATTCAGTTCGGACACGCCGCCGGTTTCAGTATAACATGTGACGCCGACCCAATTACAGGGAACCACGGCGTCCTCGGTCCATGAAGCGAGCTTCGATTGCGGGTCGATGAGCCCAGACTTCACAGCTATCAAGACCAGTACGTCGTCGTTTAAGGCTTCGTCTGCAGATTGAACCGCAAGCAAAGGAACCAATAACAGAACAGTCACCAAAATCACAAGCTTCGACATTTTTCACTTTCAAACTCTCACCAGCTTGGAGAGCATAGGGTTCAGAAAAGCATTTTCGGTAGTGATAAAAATGCAGAGAATAATAACTCAATAAATGTGAAACGGGGCGTGAAGAGACGGAGAAAGAAATAGCAGTGCATGTGTATGAAAGTTGAAATCGGAAAAACAAATGCCAAAGACGGGTTTTTTACTTCCGATAGCCGGAGATACTGCCGGAAATCGACGCGGTGGCCGAAAAAAGATGCGATCTTTAGACTTTTACCTCAACAAATCGGGGAAAGAACGCCGGAGAAAACGGGATTAAATGCAGAGGGATAAAAAGTCTGGTGTTTGGTGAGTCGGATACAAATTTTGGAAGGGAGATGGAGAGTAAGAGCAGCTGAGGCAGTGATTATGGGGCATTAAAGTGTGTGTCAGTGCGGTTGAAAGTGTGCCTTCAATGCTCAATACGTTTTAGAGAGAGGAAAATCGAAAGCTTTATTTTTTCTTTTGCTCTTTCTGAGATATCCATCTGTTTTTGAAAGTCTCTTCTCATGGACTGATTTAAATTCTCCAATGTTTAATCATATACTGTCTCCTAAATGTAGGACTGTCAAGTATACTTTATTGCAAGGCTATAGAATCATGTCTTCCAACTACAGCCGAGCTCCAAAATTCGAGCTCGAGCTCGACTCGTTAAAACCTCAAACTCAAGCCTTAACGAACCGATCTCGAGTTATAACGAGCCGAACTATAAAAAATTATATAAAATTATATTTTCGAGCCGAGTCGAGCTCGGCTCGTTAAGACCTCGAACTCGAGCCGAGCAGAGCCAAGCTCGTTTAATTTGACAGCCCTACTTCCAACGTGTAATATACTAACTTTGAAGGTTTTGAGTTAGTGTTCTATTCCATTTTTTCTTTAATATATATTTGAAGGGCATATGTTGTTGTATTATTAGCATAATATGCTTGCATGTTAATGTGATACAAAGGTTGTGTTTAGTATGCGTATAAATTAGCCTATACTTGATCTGATTTGCTTATAAGTTTATTGTATTCAAATAAGCTTGGTTTGGTATGACGAGTATTTTTAAAAAGCTCGAGTTTATCTCATAATCTTAGCTTTTCAAATAATTTCATTGATTTTTTTAGCTAGTTTATCAACTAATTTTACCGAACACTTTTCTCATATAAAATAATTTTTCAACCATAAGTCATAAGCTATCAACTATAAGCTCAAAATTCACTTTAAAACTATAAGCTAACTTATCAGTTAGGTTTAAATGTGTTTAGTTACTTATTACTAGTTGATGCTACAACAAAATAGTTGTTAAGACAAATTTAATAGTTGAACAGTTTTACTTTTTTAATAAACGGGCATGCATTCAAATTAAGACATCATAGTCTTAAAAAAATAATATAAATAAAAGTATGACATACAATACCATAAAAAAATATTTATGTTGGAAAAATATAATAGATCATCCGTCATATAATAATTTAGATTAAAAGAATAGAGGTATATTGTATTGAGTTGAATGGGGAAAACCTGAAAAGGAAAATTATCATTATCATTGTTATTTTAGCATGAAATGAAAGAGTTAATTAATGGAGTATGCAAAAAATGTGACCCTGAAAATAGAGCTGTCTGTGGCGTGGCGTGGCTGGCGTCTTTATTACTCCTTTGAATTTTTAAATTTGGGTCAAAGTGGAACCCTAGGCAAACCCATATCCTACGTGGCACAGTTTCCCAGTGTTTTTCTTTTATCTACATCTGATTTTTTTAAGAGTATGAAAGCATGAATTATGACACATACTACTATATAATATATCACTTGATTATGAAGTTTGCTACACTTTTTCATGATCTTGCCTTCTCATTTACTTAACCTTTCTTTTCTCATACCATAAATTTCAGCCATGAAATTAACCAAACAAAAGAACAATAGATAACTAATTAAATCCTCATATAATATGTATATATATCATTCTGAGTTTAGGTGGAATACATGCCCGCTTTAGATTATTAGTTGATGTAAGCTCATGTTGAGAAGTGAATCTCGGATGCGGATTAGAAAACATAATATTTATTGCAACTCTTTTTTAATAAATCAATTAGTCTTTCGTTTCATCAAATATACTATCTTTCCTTTATTCTTTCATGTAACTTTTTAGGCCTCGTTTACTTTGTTTGACAGGACAGGATAACCTAAACAGTCCCACAATATCCGACGTTTACATTAAGTGATTGAGATATGACTAACTGATGTGGATGCACATGTGGCGGTGGGACCCATAAACATATCATTTATTTCCCAATTATTCTGTCCCGCCTAGACCCCCAGATATTTTAATCCCGCACTATTCATGACTATTTTGCCCTAAAAAATGTATGTAAAAAGACGTTAATACCCCTCAACATCCATTTAATTACAATAACTTACCATTTAAATATTAAATTCATTGTATAACTTTGCCCTAATCTAGCAATCGAAACTGCAGAGGGGTCTGGAACTCATCGTCATTCCGTCGCCAAGGTAAGCTCATCGTCACATAGTTTGATTCACAGAGATGAAAGTAGCAAAACTAACTGAAAAATATAATTTTACGAATTGAATTAATATTAAAAATTTGTCAACAAAGTGTCAACCTTCAATTTTAGGAGCCACTGTTCGAAGAGGCAATTTGCAGAATTTCAAAGAAAAAATTCTTGTAGGACAATACTCTTCCAATAATGGTTCAAAATATTCTTTTATAACACCCTCGAATGCCTGAAAGGGAACCATTCCACAAATAAAGCATCAAACTTATGAAAATAATACATATTTATAGATTCTGCTGCCAATGTGTAAAGCATAATGTTCAAACCTCACTGCAATTAAAACACCTAATACAAGCCCACCGAAAACTTCATTTGCAGTCGTGGTTTGCTATCGACCTCGGCCACCTCTCCAATCTAGGGTTCGAACGAAAAAGAGGAGGGCAAAATCTGAGTGTGTGAATTTCGTCTGCATTTTCGTCTTTTGTGTACAAGGACAAATTTGTCATTTCAAGTTATATCATCTTATTTAGTCCCATATAGTAATTAGTTTCAGACAATACCATCACACAAAGTAAACGTAGGACAAATTGCTGACGTGTAAAGTATCATTGATTCTTTTGTCTAATCCCATCACACAAAGTAAATGAGGCCTTAGAGGAAGCAAAGTAAATGAGGCCTTAGAGGAAGCAATTATGTTGTTTTTTTTGGGAGTAACTAAGAATACTCATAATTTAAAGAGAAGGATTGTGTGAAATTAAAGATAATTATGGTTATCAAAATATACAGTTTCCTCAATAAAGTACAAGAAGGTCAGTCTATTGTAAATTATATGTATTTAAAAGAAAAATGCTACTTTAAGCGTAACAATTTTGATATAATTGATGCGTAAGAGTACAAATTACTAATATTAAAATCAATGTAACGTGTAAGACCAAACATTTTTATTATATATGTATTATGTTAAATTCATTTTGTATAGCATTGTCCGTATTTAATCTCCACGTACGTGATAAATTATAGTTTTATAGTATTAATTAAAGCTACTTAATTAATGTTGTGCAACAAGGCTATTAACGTAAACAACAAAAATGTTGCAGTCGAATGATAGAGACTTCATCGACACATGTGGGGCTATACGATAAGCATAAACAAAAGTTTAATAAAGTCTGCACATCGTACGAAAATCTTAGTGAAGAGTACATCCAAAGTTGTATGTTTGTTAACATGAAAGAGCCCAATGGAGTAAGGGCTAAACGACGGGTCAACAAAAGCACCTGCAAAATTATGCTCTGTTCTATGTTTTTGGTGTATATGCAAATGCAGTGGTTTATATTTTATTAGTGGTAATAAGAAAGTCTTTGTGTAACTGTTTTCAAAGAATGCTTTAATTACAATGACTAGCTGACTATCCACATTCATAATATTCTTCCTAACATATAAATTTTCGGAACAATCATATGACTCGACTTAAATTATATGGAGTCGTTACAATTATTTACAAATAGTGGAACATGTGTTAACACATTAATAAAGAAATTCTGCGCTGGTTCTATAAACTTTCACTAAATTTTAATGTAAAGTTGTATATATATACATATATGTGATGACTAATGGTTAATTATATCAATCTAATTTTAAGTAATTGGTTAAAGAGTGAGCATGAAGCTATAGGTAATAATGAAAACTTGTATTGTACTCTTTCTTTTCTCATTATTTTACACTAATGTTGATTTAAAACATACTTGCTGTTTGTTAGAGGATTTGTGTTAAATTAGCGGATTAACCTCATTCAGAAGATTGATCAATTAATTCTACTAATTAGATTTATTTAGTAATTAAATTATTTGATTAGTATTTCCGACTCAAAAATGTTAATTGTAAAAAAATTCAAAAATACATCATTTCAGAAAAATATTATTGAAATAAAACAATACAACGTAATAAATTCACTCTTTGCTAAACGATTTTGAACAACCTACAAGTTGTATATGTTAATCAAATA